CAGTGTTTGCAGCCGCAAAACAAGCCAAAACTCGGTCAAATACTTTATGAAGCCCAAGAAACACGACGTAACACGCTATAAGTGAATAAAATATGCAAATCTCCCGAAACAGTGCTCGCATTCGCTTGAAAATGCGACGTGCAGTAGTTATCCTAACCCGTATATCATAAAGATATATTCCATAAATGGGTTTGCGTTCATCGACTTTCAATGACAAATGTAGACTATGTTGACTGACAGTAAGTGAACAATGTCTTATCTACATAATTAATGAAAATTTGCATAGACAAACTAGTTCCTCACAAATAAATCCGTCCATTTAGAGACTAAGTACATACAAAAAAACATGAAGGCTGCTGGGGCGCGAGCTTGACTCTCGTAAGATAAGTCTATTGCTTCGCATATTCAGATCAGCAGCGATGTCCGGATGAAAGAATAGCGTCGGATCCCAAAGTTACATCACCATGAAGAAGACGTCAAAGAGTGTATTTATTTCCCCGACCGATGGATTGCCACGTCGCAGGATTTCGCAAGTACCACCGTCCACTGTCCACTGCCCACTGCCACAACGTCCGGTCGCATGACACGCATCATGTTGGGTCTTCCTTCTTAACCTGATCTGGGCCGATGACGGCGCTGGTAGGAAACAGTTTGTACCAGCCTTCGACCGAGTGCGACAGATCCAAGCTGCTCAGGCGTATGATGGCCATGCCGATGATCGATCGTCGTTCCATGCGTCCGTAGTCGCCCATCACCGTAATCTGAAACACGTGACGTGGCGTTACATTTTACCGAACCCCCCCCCCAAACTTCGTTGCTCTAGACCGGCTGAAAATCGTACCTGCAGCATCTTTCCGCCGTAAGGTGCCGTGAATATCAGATGTTGGTCGAACCTTGGCTCTGGCGTTCGAGTGGCCACTGCCGTTTTCGCCTTGGCCAAGCAGGACTTGCCGTCCAGCAAATAGACCTTCACGTACGGCGCTGAAAAGTGACAGTATCAGCACCCAGCTAGGCGGGTAGTCAGCTCGTCTCGCAAATACCTGGGTAGCATTTGGCGCCCGGCTTCTTGCTCAGGTTCCTGGCTCGGACAATTTTAATTTCTAAGTTTTCTTTGCGCTCTACCATGCATATCTGAATTTCGCCTAGGCAAGGACTAGCCAAAACCTGTCTGCCGACGACCTGTCCAGGTCCGAGATCGGTCACAAATTCTCCCAGCGACTTATTGGGAGGCAGCCATCTGGAAAGTTTGACAATCAGCAAATTTAGCTATGTTTTCCAATGACATGCGTCACATCGAGTAATACGCAAAACTAGCAAAATTATGTCAAAGTGTCAAAGACACGGTTGCGTATCCGTCATACTGCAAATATTCCAGCATCGGTAAGCTGTGCTCTGCTTAAATGGTTCTCCTAGACGACTAGATATTTCTACTGAAGAGGGAACACTGTTGTCGTTCTACGAGTTTCACCTATTAAATATATTCATTCGAGGCTTCTAAAGAAAGAAGAATATTCATCTTCTATATTCATTACGCCGGTACACTGAACACTGGGCAGCCGAAGGTAAATTTTCATTCGAGCTCGTTCTTTGCTATCACCGTTTAATGGCGAATTTTATACTCACTAATTTTGTAAATTTCATTTCTCCTAGGACGATCCTAAGAATCAGCTCCTCGTGACTCACAAGCACGTGCCAGTGTGCATCTGCTTACCGCAAGGTTGCTCATCTGCACTGCTATTAATCGTAACATATTACTTAGTAAATTAAAAGGCTGCTGTGTGATGCCCGTATGATTAAGGGCGTAGTACTGACGATGAGGTAGAACGAATGAGGGTATCCATGCTTTTAAGCTGGCCTTTGAAATAAAAAATAGAATTCTGGTGTAGATCTCTGCCTCAACTTACTGAACTCATGTTAAATCAGATCGCATCTTGCATCCGCGCAATAGGCAATGATAAAATCATTTGTAATCGCTGGAATGTTAGTCTTTTATGGATGGAGACCTTCTGTGTCACCTTTAATTTCATGAGGCTAATGGTGCAGCGCTGATATGTGTTTTCTCTGAAATTAGTCTGTAGTACCTTTCAGGAACTTGTAGGTAAAGTTTCGTACTTGAGGGTGGACTGCTCTCGTCAGGTATGCAAGGAAATTTATAACGGGAGTCAATCTTGCTTATGATCACCTAAGGCTAATATAACTGTCCACAAACGTGGAGAAGAATTCTACGGCAACCGAATTGTATTACATGTGAAGAACATGACGAATAATCACGCAACACTACAGTGGATGATGACACTAAAACTGAACTGGATGAAAAGTAAATATTTTTCAAACTGAACGACCAAAACATTATAAAAGTTTACTTACGAACTTTCGTTGCTGTCTGTCGATTCTCGACTAGAATGGTTGACAATGTCCAAGCTGGACTGAGGACTGATATTTGGCGGAATTCCGACTTCGTCTGAACGTCTGAATCCCAAACGCTTTTGCTCTAAAACCGTTCAAAGTCAAGCGAGAATTATTGTAAATCTCACTGCTGACTAGCCGAAGTTTTCCCACTTTAAAATGAACCAATTTTAGTCTCAGCTCATTAATAAACCAGATCGCAACCCTAACGGCAGCAATAGCTGTACATGCAATGTTTTTTGCAAAATCAAAAGAAATAAATAGAAAAGTAAAAAATTTATACTCCTAGAAAAAAATGAATTCCCGTCGGCCAGCCGTACTTTCAATGAGCAGGACAAGCGCCGGATATCTGCGCTATAGGATGTGCTGCAATTTCAAAACCTTAAGTTTTAAACGACAGCTGCTTAACGCCTAGATCGATGTATTCAGATGATGCAATTCTTCGGTGTCGCAGTTTATATAACTGGCAAGCTGTGATCTGTATCAGTTACTTGGTTCGATCCCTCACGATGCAGATTAATCGAAAGTTACCTCTGAGCACCATAAGAAACTGTCGTCTGACGATTTTGCTATGACAGATATGCTATTATGTTATTCAGTTAGAATCTACAAACTGAAGGCATTCCAAAATTTAGGCAAAATGTCTTGTCCACCAGACTTGAAATCATAAAATGAAACAGAACCTCAGACAAATTTGACAATAACATCGCAATGTACTCGCAGAGAGCTTTTCTTTTGTAGGTAACATAAGAGTGAGTCAAATAATCGATACGTCTGACCGTTTACCAACGACGTAGGTTTAAACTCGCGACAGCAGGACTTCCATTGTTACATAATCGTCACAACGGTTTGTGCATAGGAAGGTACATGGTCACCTGCTGCGTTGTGTAGGCCGCCGGATCGCCCGGAGATCAGACGAGTCATGATGCTCTTCTTGCGCTTGTCGCCGGTGCCGAAGCCGTTCTGCTTGGCAGCGTCCATCATCGGCGCTTCATTCACCGAGTCCGGCAGCGATCCGTACAGTGCTGACTGGTCGTGCTCCTCTTCCTCCAACGGTTCCTCGCGCTTCATTCGCGACGGCCTACAAAAGCATAGGCGTACTGTAACAGGAGACACGCATCGCCGCATGGCCTATCAGCTGACATCGAGATCTTGCGCGTCAGCCGTTCAGACTGCGTGCTGCCGATCGATGCCGACGTCTCGGAACCATCGCTAAGGTAGCCGTAAGTCAGGTTTTCGGTCACGAAGGGCGGGTACGGTTGTGGCTGGTCACTTTTCTCGACGATGTCCTCGCGGCCTTCCGATCGTCCAACGGCCGGCTCTGTTTTGCCCAGTGGAAGTCTAAAACTGGATGATGAGAAACAGTTGGCGAACTGTGGCGCTAAAGCAACGCTCCGACGGCTTGAGCGCGACATCTACGGCTCACAAATGCTCTTCGTCTTATTTCTACCTCCTGTGCTGTTGGTCAGAGTCGTAGGCATAATTTGACGGGGCATTCGGGAGTCTTCTGGCAATACCACGCGAATACTTCGCATCAGCCGTCAACTCTTCC